GTGTGTGTGTGTGTGTGTGTGTGTGTGTCTGTCTGTCTGTCTGTCTGTCTATCTGTCAGAGAAGACACTGGAGAAGTGTGACAAGAGATCACTTACTCACAGTACAATTTCTACTAAGGAGGCAGTTTTCTTTTTGGCCGGTGGTGACCTTTTGTGACTGTTCCTCACACCAGCAGCAGTATACTGCATGTCCACATTTCAACATGGTCAACAGAGTGTAACAGGGCTCTTTAACTTACTGTGGTGGGAGGAGAAGTTCCAGGTGAAATTTGAGAAGGGCATGAAAAGTTGTAAGAGTCACAAGGAAGAGGGCTAGGAACTTCCTTCAAATGTGATTTTAATAATTAGTCAAGTGTGTCCAACTGTAGAAAATCACCAACTGACAATCTGTCTACCTGACAGTGAGCACAATGAATTACAAGACTTTTGAGTAGCTCTACAGATTAGAATAAAGCAGGCGCAAATGAAGTGTCCTTTGTTGGCAAAACTTTTGACCCAACAGCTAACAAACTTAAAAAAGAAAGCATGCAACATCTCTCTTGCTTTGAAGTAAAATGTTTAAATTTTAAAACGACTTTATTGGTGATTTCTTAATCACCAATAAAGAGAGGCAAAAAGTTTTATTGATGGGTCTGTTGAACAGTGTGTGGTATCTTGTCATGTAGGAATATATTATTAGTTTCCAATGTATAAAAGGACCATATCTTATTTAATAGTACCATCACAAAACCAGAACTTCAGTGATCTTGAAATTTCCAAACCAGTAATGGTTTTACTTAATAATATCCTTTTACTAGTCAGGCATAAAACACGGAAAGAGTTATTGCAGTGAAGTAAGTCTACAGCTAGGTCAGGAGATAAAGGCAAACAAAAATAAAAAACCAACACCCAGTGTAGCATTCTTAAAAATAAGACCTTGGGTCTATGTCAATATTGATCATTTTAAAACTAATGCTGTCAGTATTTTTATATATACCTTCTTATGTTTGGTTTTATTGTTAAAAAGAGTTGATATCTGAACTTCATGTAGAAAATTTTATGGTTATAGTTTTTAAAAGTATATTTGTTTTTAGTAAGGATAGAGATTTTTACAAACTTTATTTCCTGTGGTTCTTGTGTTTTTGTCATAATGTATTATGTTTGTAGATAGGACCTTAAAGACACAAGCAGAGTTAGGACATTTACAGAAATAAATAGAAAGACATAACCGGCATCAAATCTTTTACTCCTTAAACTTGATAGTGGCTGCTGTGTCTCTAAGATTTAGATTAGCTCAGCAGTTGAGCCTTAACGTCCAAAGTTTTTTAAAATCATAACTGCAGAAATGTTTGCCTTGTGAGAAGTAAGTCGGGAAAATATATGTTTAAAATGTAAAGCTCAGAAAGTTGTGTTTTAAACTGTAGAATCTATAGTTTCAGGACAAGGGCACTAGTTCTTTTACTGTGTCCTGAAATATGAAACAAATTTTAAGATTAAACAGTTTCTACTGATTGTTCTGATGGTTTATGTTGCTCTGTGAGTTTTTTCTAAGTCGTTCTGGATGGAAAGAGAATAAGGTCCAAGGTGCATAGATGATATAATTTTCTCTCAACATATACAGAATGTGATTTGAATGTATTCTTGTATGATAAATTCTTTTAATCACACTACAAGTAGATTATATTTTTATTTAAAATTTATAATTTTTCTCTGTAGCAAGAATGCCCATGTATTTTTGTTCTAAATAAATAATATATGCCTATTTGTGCACAAAATAAAGGCAAACAACTTTAATCTTTATTTAAAATATTTAATGTATATTTTTTCCTAACAGAATATTTTAGTTACTTGAAACTATATTAAACCACCTTGCCTAATGTCTTAGGAACATCTTTATGGATTGAAATAAATTCTGATATTTAATTATAACACTTTTTTTTATTTCAAAACAGGAAGGGTATGGAGTCATAGTCCTGAACCCAAATGAAAACTATATAGAAGTGGAAAAGCAGAAAATGCATAAGCAGTCATCTTCTGATGGCACAGATGAGCCAGCAGGGAAGCGGGAAAGGAAAGATAAGGTCTCCAAGGAAACAAAGAAGCGCCGTGATTTCTATGAGAAGTACCGCAACCCCCAAAAGGAGAAAGAAATGATGCAGTTGTTTATCAGGGTGAGAAAGAAAAAAAGTCTCATTTTTATTTCTTTGATTTTCTTAGGATTTCATTTCATTTAAAATACTTTACTGTTTTTAGAAGCTGTTGATTGCTTTAGTTTTTAGCAAACATTCATTTTTCATAGTTACCTGTCTGCCTGGATGGGATTTTTTAATTTAAGTTACGAAACCTATCACTTATTTCAGTGTGACATTTTATAGACCCTCTAATGCAAATGCTGTTGTCTTTTGTGTCACTTGCTGTTTCAAGGAACAATTTCTAAGGTCTTAATATGATGCACGCAAAGGGAAGAAACCTTTTCATTACACTTCTCTAGCACATAACGAGGTCTAATGAGAGTAAATATAACAGAATAATTCTAAAGCAAGATATAATACTATCATCATCTCACGTGACAGTTTTCAGCCGATGATGTGTGTGACCACTGATTTACCCACAATGTATAAGGCATATCAAGAGGAAAGCAACTAAATACATCAATACTTACCTAAGCTTAGACCTTCCGAGGCAGTGTGATAAGGACATAGTTGGTGTTTGCCTCTGTTCACAGCATCATGGAATCAGTCCTTTCAGTGGTACCACAGGAGGACATTCAACATTGTAGTGATACATACGGACATTTTTGCCCTTTGGTATGTTTTTTTATGATATATTTTCAAAGCATGTCTTTTGTTTGCTAGAATTTAAGAGTTAAATATGAAAAAATGTTCCTAGAGTGTGAAGATAGTAAGTTTGTATGTTCTTTAAAGTTCAACAATTCAGTACACTTAAACTTTAAAATTAATATTTTGTGTTTATGGAGAGGCTTGGGGATGAAACAAGGTTTAGAGGTAGCCCAGATTGGACTGGAACCTGCCATGTATTTCAGGCCTCACTTAAACTTGAGTGTAGTTCTCACCTTATCCTGCTGACATCACAGTGGGGGTCCCAGACCTGGCCATAACCTTTAGAGTCTTAGCAGCATTTCAGAATATATGGCTTGACTCATGTTTATATTTATCTTTAATTAAAGATTATTAATTAAATACTTCATACTCTATTTGAAGGAAATGCATTAATTATTGGTTTTAGATCTTTATCTTCTTTTAGGTAGTGACAGTGTTTCTTGTTGTAGAAGTTGAGATTTAACCCCAATGACCAGATTCATATGTAAATTCTCAAGATACTGAAAAGAGTGTCCTGACCAGGAATACACAGAATTTGAGTCAAAATAGTTAGGTACAGTATAATATTTTAAATTTTGCAAATCCTTCCACTGCTTAGTACTCCTTAAAAATAATTACCAAATTTAGAGTCTCTAAGTATTCTGCTTCTCTTACTGTAGATATATGACATCTTTGTACTCTTACCTCAAAGTTGTGATACTAGCCTTTAGGTCTATCTGTTGTCCTTAGATTCTTGCCATATTATCCAATCAGTAAAGCACCATTTATGACAACGTTTGTCTCTAATGCAGATTCTAAACTTAACTTTTCTGATGCTCTTTGACTACTCCAGGCAGAAGAGTCTCCATGTGTGTACATGAAAGACAAGCAGCACAGTGGTGTGTTTATTTTTTCCTTATTTGCCTATAGTTCGTAGAGATAAAAAAGTGTCCCAAGCACCCATTTGAAAAGGTCCTCTCCTTTCCTATTTGCATTTTCTCATGCCACCATTGCTTAGGTGCTGCCCCACCCCCTCCTCACTATTTCCGTATGTATATGTTTTCTTCATTGTCTTCATCTCTGCATCTCAATACTCTATTGATTACTGAGACTTGGTCTCTTTGGGTTTGGGTTTGTCTGTTTACTTTTTGTTTAATTGTTTTATACCTTTCATATACTAGCTATTTTTTTTATTGGATATTTTATTTACATTTCAGATGTTATCCCCTTTTCCCATTCCCCCCCCCCCCCGGAACCCCCTATCCCATCTCCTATCCTCCTGATTCTATGAGAATGTGACCCCACCCACCCTCCCACTCCCACCTCCCCACCCTCGAATTCCCCCACACTGGAGCATCCAGCCTTCACGAGACCAAGGACCTCCTCTCCCACCTATGCCTGACACTGTCATCCTCCACTAAATATACAGCTGGAGCCATGGGTCCCTCCCTATGGCTGGTGGTTTAGACCCTGGGAGCTCTGGTTGGTTGGTATTGTTGCTCTCCCCATGGGGCGGCAAAACTCTTTCAGTTCCTTCTGTCTTCTAACTTCATTCCACCTCACACCAGTCAGAATGGGCTAAGATCAAAAACTTAGGTTATAGCAGATGCTGGCAAGGATTTGGAGAAAGAGGAACATTCCTCCGTTTTTGGTGGGATTGCAAGCTGGTACAACCATTCTGGAAATCAGTCTGGTGGTTCCTCAGAAATATACTAGTTATTTTTACTTCTTTTTTTTTTAATACCTTATTTATTTATTTGTGGAGGAAGCATAGAGGATTGGCTTTTTTGTTCCATTTGCCCCAAATTAAGTTTTCATATTAAAACATTTATCAACACAATACAGATTTGTATGTGGCTCTTTGAGTTAATAACATATTTTCTTAACACTGTTTCTCTTAAAATCACCAAGGGTTGTACATAATAGTGTGTGTACAGTGAAAGACTCCAACATACTTTTGAATAGTAAGGCTTTATTTGATAATGGGAAAAAGATGTCTCATCAGATGTATAGTGCATCCATGTACAGATAAAATTGCCCTACGCAAAATATTATTTCTTTCTTCTACATGTCTGTGAATATTATCAATATTAGCAGTTTTAGAATCAGAGCGTTGTGTATGAGGAGGGGAAATTAACTCTTATTTATGGTTTTCTTAATCTCCCCTGTTCTTTGAAAGGTTTATACTGTATGTTTTGATCATATTCTCCAATCCTGAAGTCTTCCCAGATCTACCTACCCAACTTTGTGTTCTGTGTTTGTAATAACCCATCAGGACAATTTATGCTGCCCAGATATTCCTGGATGTGGTCTTCCAGTAGAGTAGGGTTGACTTACTGGCATGTACACTCTTAAAACTGTGTCTCCTTTCCCAGAACCTAATGATAACCAGTAGCTCCTTAGCTAGGGGTAAAATTTCATGCCCAAATCCCATTAGCATGATGGGATTTGGTCTGGCTTGGTTTTGCATCAGTTTTGTACAAGAACTAGTATCTGTCCAAACTTAGGTTCTTGGCCCAATAATGGTGCCAGGTGTAGGTTTTATCCTATGGAGTAGGTCTTAAGTCAAGTCATACCTTGGTTGGATATAGTACGTGAACTGATACACTGGTTACTGTTTAGGATCATATAGCTAGGAACTGGAAGTAGTTATGATGGACTCTTTGTCCCATACATCTATACCATATTGTCCTGCCCAGAGAAAACAAAGTATGGAGCTGACATATGAAAATTAAACCATATGTGGTAAAAGTGTGACATGGTATAGTCATATCTGATGGTGATAAAGAATAATTCTTTTTAAAAAATTACATATTTTTTAGGATTTATTTATTAATTATATGTGTATGGATGTTTTCCCTGTGTGTTATATATATACACACTCATGTCTGTGCAGTGCCCAGTGACTGTAAGAGGGCAGTAGAACCTTTGGAAATGGAGTGAGAGATGGTTCTTAGCCACCATGTGTGTGCTGGAAACTGAACCCAGGTCCTCTACAACAAGTAGTCTTAACTCCAGCAATTTCTCTCTCTCTCTCTCTCTCTCTCTCTCTCTCTCTCTCTCTCTCTCTGTATGTACATGCATGTCTGTATGTGTGTGCTTGTAAGTACATACATACCACATCCTGAATGTAGAAGCCAGAGGACAACAACTTTGGAAAGAATGTTGTCTTCCACCAAATAGGTCTTAGCTATTAAACTCAAGTTTTTAAGCTTGCCAGCCATGCTCTGCGCACTGAGCCAGCACAATAGCCTTAAACCAAGACTTCTGACCAGTTATAAAGAATAGAGACAATATGGTTTTGCTTAATTATATAATTACTATTGATTCAGACTTATAGATAAGGAGACTGTGATCAACATAATATGAACTCTATGGGGACCAAAACTTGGTTTGTTTCACTCAGTGCACTGTCCATGGAGCCTAGAAGAGGTCCATCATACGATACATGTGTACAGCAGAGTCTTCTCAATGAATTTCGAATGTGATGATGGAGCCATTAATTAAAATCCCAAAGTATACTTATTTGCTTTAAATGAAAAAACCTACACTGCTAACGTATATGGCTTGCTTTTTCTGTATGGTTGCATTTTAACTAAAACAAATAAACAAAAACTATATTATTAGTTTCTTACCCAGTCCAGTGTCCAAGATAAGATTTTAAAAATTAAGTAATATTTCATTAATTAACATCATTAGTATGTTAAGATTTATTGTTGGTGGATTTATACATAATTAATTGAATATATAAGATAGTATCCTGTTTTTGTTTGTTTTAGTCATACTGTCAGTGCTAAAATTATGGGTGGAAGTGGAAATATTTCATTTTTAGCTGAAGTTATTTCTGTTTCATGAGTCTGCTGACGTGGACCGTAATGGTGTTTGCTTTACACATTTATTCTACTGTGTACACACTCTTTGGTACTTTCTCAAATCTGTAACTTTGTTTTCTCTCTTTCTTTCCCTTAATCTTGATTCTACCGAGATGAAATATTGCCTCCTCTATGGCTATACCTAATAACTGGCGCTTAACAAACTTCTGAAAATAACTACAAGTACTTAGCTTTTTCACATTTCATCATTTGCTATTTTGAGATACCTCTTGCATTTTTGCCTCATAATTTTGTTGTTATTATTATTGTTATCTCACATTGTATTGTTTTATATTGATCTCCTTGTTATCCTCTAAATCTTTGAGTATGCCTTCTACCTTTTTATATCGTGTTTCAATTTTTACCAAGATGCAGATAGAAGCATGTTTTTCCAGTAGTGCAAATGACATTCCAAGAGAATTAAGAGACAATTCAAAACCCACTTACTAGAAGTTGATGCCCAAAAAGAAAGCAAACTAA